CGCGTCACACAATCTGTCATGCAACCCGCTAAACTGACCCGCTACCATCAGGTGCAGAAGATGAGGAGGCTAAATTGATGGTAGCGTCAAGTAAGATTCAACTGGTAGTCCAACCTGCTTCTGTACAATGAATAGGAAAGGGAACCTTCACCTGGGGCAGCAGAAGGTCTTGAACCAGCCCTATCTAGGAAGAGGGTGACACAATGATTCACTGGCTTTTGAGATCATCCATACATGCAGCAAGTGGACATTCAGACAGCCAATGTAGCTTGTGTGAGCAGAGGATTGTAGGAGCTGATCATGTCTTAACTGGTTTTAATATTGTATTTCCAAATGGTTGTGACCTGCTCTGGCCCCTCACAGCAAAAGTTAGGTAAGAAATCTAATACAGTGGTACCTAGGGTTACAGACACATCAGGTTACAGATGCTTCAGGTTACAGACTCCGCTAACCCAGAAAAAGTACCTCAGGTTAAGAACTTTACCTCAGGATGAGAACAGAAATTGTGTGCCGGCGGTGCAGTGGGAGGCCCCATTAGCTAAAGTGGTACATCAGGTTAAGAACAGTTTCAGGTTAAGAACGGACCTCCAGAACGAGTTAAGTTCTTAACCCAAGGTACCGCTGTAAATAACAGCAGCAGCAACGGCGATTCAAATTAGGTGCACCTACTATTCTGCAGGAATTCAGGGAACTCTGCTTAGAAACTTTCCTAAGTGCATTTATATTGCTTTGCCATTCGCCAAAATTCCTCAGATGTTTTTCTTGATGAGAAACTCTCTCCCCACCAGTTCACTTGAATTCCACTGCAGGTAGCATTTCCATGCCAAAGCTGCTTCTTTGTGTCTTGAAGGCATCAGTACTGCATTTGTATGTGACGGGTCTGAGCGAGCAAGGGGACAAGGGGACAAGACATGGTCTGTCTTTCAACTTTTATTCATTCCATTTCTAAAGTGCTTCTTACCAAACTCCACAAACATGTCAAATGTAAAATAAATAAAAGAATGACTCTTTGGTTCACCCAACTACACCAACACTAAGTAACATCTGGCCTGATGAAAAGTTATGGAGAACTTTAAAGCTCACAGAGTATTTGTGATGTATTAATTAGTCCTAAAGGCATTATCCAATTATGGTTTATTTTTTTAAGAATAAACCAAGATCCAATGAAATCAAAATACAAAACATATTTAAGACCATAATTGAAATCCAAAGTAAGAAGTGTTAAACTAAAGTAGATCAGCAACCAGCCTACACTTTCAGGATCTAATTAAGCTTTTGGGAAATCATCACTTTCTCCAGTTTTGAAAAAGTTTTGCTTTTTAAAAAAAGAAGAAGCAAGGCATATGAGTCATCCCACCAATTCCAAGGGCCCGTACCACTGATGAGCGATGAACTATTTTAAATTTGCACATTAAACACACACATCTGTATCACTGCCTTTTGCCATTATGGAATTCTAACCAGCTCACTCCCAAATACATACCTCAAGAATCAACTTTTTAAAAGAAATCTGCTTCCCAATTAGCAACAGAACAAGTCATTACTGATAATATAAGCGCTTCCATAAACTGCAGATGGCAGGCGTAATCTTTGAACAGACATTCCCCTTCAGTTTCACACAAAAGCAAATGCATCTTTTGTGACATCTACATGCACCACCTAAAAAGAAAGGAGCGTGTTTTTGATCAAAACTATTGTTTTAGTCGTATGCAAACGTATGCAGCCTTAATCAAAAATTAAAATTACTTTGATTAGTTGACAAAGATTTCTTTAATTGGATGACATCCCTTATCTCTCTCTTTCTCCCAGCGATTACATTTCTTGGTATAGCCTTTCAGACCAAGCTGGCAGCAAAGTGCTGTAAATCATCCAGATAAAAAAAAAGAACCATCCAATTCTAAATCCCAACACCATTCCAAGCCTGATATTAATTAGATAAAGAAAGGTTAAAAGAACCATGCACATTCATTCTCTGTGAATCCTGGCACTCAGGTATTCAATGGGGGGGTGGGGTGGACAGCAGGTAAAGGAAACAATTCTTCCCTGGCCCAAGGAAGAGGGCCAAAGGACTGCAGCAGCATCAATTTAGATTGAATAACAACAGCTAGGAAATTGAACATGTTGCCCAGAAAAGCTATGGGATCTCTTATCACTGGAGGTTTTAAGGAAGCTAGATAGAAATCTCAGCGGGATGCTTTCGGTACAGAATTTCCTCCTCTAAGCTTGGCCTGGATGATGCCTGCCAACGTCTTATGTTTTAGCGATTCTACTGGACTTCAATTTGCAATTCTGGCAGCAAAGGCAGTAAGCAGAAATTTCAAGCAGGGTTAGATGAAATGCCGTGAAATGGTACAGAAGACTTGTGGGTCTAGAAGCCCGACAAACCACATGAATAAATCTATCCAAGAAGCAAGGACAAGGGATTTAGCCGCGAAGATTTTGCTATTAGTCATAAATCATCAAACAAACAAAAATAAATAACATTTGACAAAGAGCAAGATACAAAGGAAGGCTCCATCAATACCATGGAGTGAGCAATGTACCAGATTATAGCAGCGTCTTCTCAGAGCCCATTATTCAGCTGCCCCTATTGCACAGAACGAAACCTAAACATTAGGAAGAACTTCCTGACAGTAAGAGCTGTTCGACAGTGGAATTTGCTGCCAAGGAGTGTGGTGGAGTCTCCTTCTTTGGAGATCTTTAAGCAGAGGCTTGACAACCATATGTCAGGAGTGCTCTGATGGTGTTTCCTGCTTGGCAGGGGGTTGGACTCGATGGCCCTTGTGGTCTCTTCCAACTCTATGATTCTATGATTCTAAGCCCACTTGTTATATAGTTCAATGTGTTGGGGTTCATTTCTCTATTGTTTGAAGTCAACAGCAGAACTTTCCACTTGCTCGAAGATGAGACATTATTGATTCCAAAGATGTACCACACACAAAAAAACTTTAATGGGGAAGTTACTGCTACATTCTGGGTCACACCATGGGAAAATGAGTTGTATTGTTCTTGGGGCAGAGTTGCAATTGGTCAATCATCTGTTTGGAGTATTGTAGCTATTTGCAAACAAAACATGTATTTTCCTTTCTTATATGAAGTTTCTATTTTAGGACGGAAATCCAGGATGGAGGCAAGGGTGTGTTCTTCTAGTTCACCATCCTTTGTGGGCATTTTATTTTATTCTATTTTATTTTAGTTGGGCAGCAGCAATGAGAGGAAAATCAGAGGGAGTGTTAGGTTGTGGGTGAACATATCAGACAACACAGCAATTCTTCTAACACCTCTTGTTTATTCACAGGCCCAGAACAGAACTGGGCTGAAGGGTTCAGCCAACCTGCTTATATAGAGCTCAACTACAAAGCAACAGTAACAACAACAGTAACAATCACTGAACGTCACTTTCAATTCCTTATTTGCATATGTGGACCTGAGTGAAAACTATCTACAGTATCCCCCTGCTGGCCCAGGGAGAGAACTTCAATACATAACAGGGAGAGAAAGGTTTAAACCGGCTCCTGAGCTCGTCTAAATATCTCCATTTTCCAGAAGTGTTATGCACCGAGGCAGCATCGGGTGAAAGCCATTTCCTGTTCCTCCGTTCTTACGCCCCCAAACTGACCTTGATATCCCAAACATTTGCCCCTACCAATAATGGTAAGCTACTATCTGTTGAGCCAAGACACCAGAAGTTTCACAGTAGCAGGTTGTGGCGGATCTGATATTGGAGCTCTCACTCCAATGTCAGAGTGGGAAATCTGGAATATTCTATCATGCCTGTGATGCCAAGAGAACCAGGATTACGGGGCAAGAAACAAATGCAAGGAACAAAAAAACAAAAGAAGCAGCAGCATTCTGTTTGAAATGCCTGTTTCAGAAACCTATCACTACGCTGACAGTCTTTTCTCTGGAAGCATTCAAGTTCCTGGCATTAATTCATTATCACAGAACAATATGTCTTCAAAAAAACAACAGCCATATGTTTTTAATATTACCTACTGCAATTACTCCAGGATTTTGTTTCACCGTTAATCCTGGATATGATTAAATTGCTTCGCGTGGTATCACCAGCACAAATCTTAATAATTTTTATTTAGTGGGGATTGATACAATGTATCATTATAACTTGACAATACAATTGGAAAAAGCAATTAAATTTGTAAACACGTTACTGTGCTCCACAGGAAACATTTGACCAATAAATATTTTTCAAGCAGGAATAAAAAAATTAAGTTGATAGTTCTTTGTTCAAAAAAGACCTACTAAGAGAGTTTCTCAATCTGACAATCACCAGCTTAAGTTCCAATTTAACCATTTTCATTATTTCATAGTTACCCGTATAAAGGAATGCTATATCTTTTGTTCTTCTAGAACAGGGTTTCCAAAACTTGGGTCTCTCGCTCATTTTTGGACTACAACCCCCATCACCCCTAGCTAGCAGGACCAGTGGTCAGGGATGATGAGAATTGTAGTCCAAAAACAGCTGAAGACCCAACTCTGTTCCAGAAGGTAACAAGTGATCACATGTGGTTGATTTTAACTGACAATAGCTATTTGTTCAACAGCATTTATTTAGTACCTATTTACCCCCTATAAACAGGATGGCGGCCTAACACCCTGATCCCAAGAGCATAATCAAAACCCTGGTGGTGGGAGGCAGTGTTGGGGTTTAATGGAGCAATGGAGCCACTGCAGCCCCACAACTTGCAATGGTCAGGATGGAAGGTAGCAAGGGCAGGAAAATGTCATACCTTTACTGCAACAACTTCAGAATGGAACAGCAGAGAGCCCTGAATCAGGCCTACTGCTATTTTATGGTGGCTGGTCCATCTTAGGATTCAGTGGGTCTTTGCCTGATCCAACTCCTCCCTGTCCCCACCAAACAAAAGTCACTGAACTCCCATCAGCCAGCAGGGCCAATGGGTGAAAGATGATGGGAGTTGGGCGCCCAAAACAAAAGGCTGCTATACTGCATATTGTTTCTTTCTTTCTTCTTCTTTTTTGCTGCTGATAACTGCGTTCTCTTTCTCCAGCTTTCGGGCAGAACCATGTAGAAACAGGAGAAACAACAACCCAAAATGCCCTCACACTGAGTACTTTGCTTTTTGATGATGCGGTGGGTGATTTGTTTAAATACCGTATTTTCCCGTGTATAAGACTAGGTCCCCCCCTAAAAAATAATGTCAAAAATTTGGGGGCGTCTTATACATACACCCCCCAATTTTCTTACATTGGAGTCCCCCAAAATAGGGGGAGTCTTATACATGGGGGCGTCTTATAGAAAGGAAAATATGGTAAATAAGTAACTAGCTAGCTCCTGACAATCAGAACCATGCAGCAATTCAAAGGCTTCTCCGAGCTTTCGGTGTCTCTTCTCCAATACCTCTCTGGTTTTAGCATTTGTAATTATTAATAGCTTCAGAGAACCTGGAATGAAGTATGTGGGTAGGTGGGAGAAGACTCTACATTTGCCAATATTAATCCAGCCCTGGTTGCACTGAAGAGTGGAACCACAGTTCTTAATCCTTCAGGCAAGAAGAGGGGTGCCAGTGAGCTGGCTTCTAGTATTCAGTGAATAGAGCTCAGTCAAATGCCGTTTTGACCTGCTTACTGATATCACAGCCACAGCCACGGGGCTCCCTTATGCTCAAACAAAAGCCTCAAGTGATGCCACTGAAAGAAAGAAAACAGGGAGGGAAGCTACTTTTGAAAAGATACAGGAGCTTCTTCTCCCCACCCCACCCCCCACTACTAAGGCTGACTTTTGGCTTTCAAGAGACTGCACAAACGAGGCCTCCATCCTGGAAAACACAGGGTAGGTTCACAGACATGCTCACAGTTGTGAAGACTATTCCTACACTATGAATGGTCCACGTCACCTTTAAGAAAAAGAGGTAGGAATAGGCTGGTATATAGAGGGGGCGAGAAATGGAGGCAGTAAGAGATTTTACTTTCTTGGGCTCCATGATCACTGCAGATGGTGACAGCAGTCACGAAATTAAAAGATGCCTGCTTCTTGGGAGAAATGCAATGACAAACCTAGACAGCATCTTAAAAAGCAGAGACATCACCTTGCCGACAAAGGTCTGTATAGTTAAAGCTATGGTTTTCCCAGTAGTGATGTATGGAAGTGAGAGCTGGACCATAAAGAAGGCTGATCGCCGAAGAATTGATGCTTTTGAATTATGGTGCTGGAGGAGACTTCTGAGAGTTCCATGGACTGCAGGAAGATCAAACCTATCCATTCTGAAGGAAATCAGCCCTGAGTGCTCACTGGAAGGACAGATCCTGAAGCTGAGTCTCCAATACTTTGGCCACCTCATGAGAAGAAAAGACCCTGATGTTGGGAAAGACTGAGGGCGCAAAGAGAAGGGGACAACAGAGGACGAGATGGCTGGACAGTGTTTTCGAAGCTACTAACATGAGTTTGACAAAACTGGAGGAGGCAGTGGAAGACAGGAGTGCTTGGTGTGCTCTGGCCCATGGGGTCACGAAGAGTCGGACAACAACAAGTTCTTAACCTAGCTCAAGGCTGTCATCTGAACTAGCCAGATGCTTAAGTGATAATCCCAATCAGTCCATCATTTGAAAAATAAGACTTTAGAGCTGTCTTTGCCTCAATATGGCAACTAGACATTCCTTTTTGGCAACTGTAGCCTTGGTTTAAGGAGCCATTTGGCACCCAGTTTATATATCTGAGTTTCTAACACTGATTGGGGGCAATTCCAGATGTCAAATTTCTGGTGCGCCACATTAGAGAAAGAGTGCTTTCCACCAGCACAAAGTCCATACTAGATATTGCCCAATGCATCTACACTTTTTAAAAAATCTTGTTTAACGATCCTTCCATGCAGCTTTTTTTTTTTTTTTGCATGAGCAGACTTTTAACAGAATGTGGCTAATTATGTTAAGTGATAGGCAGTGATTTTATAATACAGAGACCAGCCTGCTGGGGGGCAAACGGAAGTCATCTAATTTGTTTAACTAAAGACAGAATGTTCTATGAACAGCATCACCCCCAAAGAGTTGAAAGTGCAGGCCCTTCTTCCTGCAATTCCTAATCTTTGACATTCATCCCTGTTTAGAATTTTTATCCCCCATTATTTCAATAAAGTTTCTATGGTTACAAACCTATTAGAGTTTGAGCAGTAGATGCTAGATAATCATACGAAAAATTCAAATTTTCTCCTTTCCTGGACTATGCTAGAGGCAGAAGATACCCATGTATGATGCCCCCCCAGTAGCCTGACAGGATATTTGAAGCAGCCCTTCTTAATTCTTAGACCTAAGGTGTATTGTTTACAATGGTCTAATGGATAGAGGACAGTTGGGAGTCAAATCTCCCATTGGCGGGATTTTCCCAGCATGCCTTGTGTAAGGATGCATGAATTTGTCAATTTCAATTATATCCTCTCAATTTCTTTGCATTTTAATGCTAATTTCTCTTAAAATAGACATTTTTGTACAAAGGTCTGATGAATATGCATTTTTTTGCAAGCAATTTTCCCTAATATAATCCTTCCTTGTATGTTATTTTTATGAATGCAATGCATTTTTTTGCACACCCTCTCCCCTAATAAGTTCATTTTTGTTCACAGTGGCTGGAGGCCCACATCACAAAATTAAGAGAATAGCAGATTTCAAGGGATAACCATGTTTCAGTCAGCACACTGGTTTGAAAAGTGTAAATTGGGTAGTTTCTTATTAAAATGCAGAGAAAATCAATTTTCTTCCCTATTCAAAATTTATGGGTCAGCCATGATCTCTTAACCTCACCCTCTCAGCCTTACAGAACCGGGGTTTTTTTTTGGGGGGGGGGGATGGAATCACGCCCATTGTTTGCTGCCCTCAGCAACTTAGGTGCCATCAACACTATACATTAAACCACTATACATTAAACACTAAACCATTATCATATCACTTTAAACAGTTGTGATTCCTCCCCAAAGAATCATGGGGACTGCGTAGTTTGTTGAATGTGCTGAGAGTTGCTACAGACCCTTATTCCCCTACAATTCTCAAGAGTTCCCTGGGAAGAGAGGCTGATTGTTAAACCACTTTGAGAATTGTAGCTCTAAGGAAAATATGGGTCTCTTAACAGCCCTCAGCACCCTTAACAAACTACACTCTCAGGATTTCTTGGGGGAAGCCAAGCAGTATCACAGTGCTTTAAATGTATAGCACAGATGGGACATTGGTGAAAGGATAGGAAAGAAATGTGAACAACAGCAACAGCCATAAAAATATGTGCTGTACTGCAGGCTGCCTCTGTTGTGTTAGTTCTGTGGAAAGCTCATCCTCAAAATGCCTCTCTTCTTTCCAAGCAGAGTTATTTCGTGCCCTGGCTCGAGGGACAAAATCATTGCTGAATGATGCCAATAATTAATATGAGTAATTGGAGAGGACCTGTGCAGGGCAATCCTAGAGAGCCGGAGCAGTTTCGAATGCCAGACTCCTTGAGTCCTGAAGAAGACATCACTCAGCCTCAGAGCTCCAACAACAAGGGATAGAGATGGACTGCAAGACCAAAAGGAAGTCCCTTACAAAAAGGAGGATACAACAGGAAAACTCTGATGGAGCTGTGACGAAGTTCCAAGGTGAGCAGAAACAAGAAGATGCGACTGAGCAAGAAAACCGTATCAGCTATGCAAAGCCAATGGTTGGATCTAGAATTGCCCCTCTGTGACTAGAAGGGCATTTGATGGAACTGTGTTCAACACCACCTTCCATGCAGGATCCTCAATCTTCAAGTTCAACTTTTCAGGGGGCAAAGTGGGTTGCAAAGGGAAGGAGGAATAAGCAAAAATAATATCACTACCCCTTCCTCCAGCATGAGCAGAACTCCGCTGAGGGCTAATCTGGATCTAACCCAACAATTTTTATTCCCAGTTACCAGTAGGGAAAGCACTCCGTGGGGGGGGGGGGAGTACATGCTTAGAGAACTCTGAGAAATTTAAAAATCTTTCTAAATAAAATAAATAAAAACAAATTTAAAGGGGGGGAGGTCAAGATACATCTCTTTATGGCTGTACAGTGCATTTTTCCCCCAAATATGGAAATGTGCTTCTCGGGTTCCTTAATAAAAGTAGAGGGGTGCTTCCTTACTTATAAAATGCAGTAAATAAATCTGCAATATAATTTAATGTATTGCAGATGACATGCGATTTGAAGGTAGAGGGAGGGAGCAAGGTGGTGCTTGCCGACCCCTATCTGTTGTGCAGAAGACCTGCTTACCGTACAGCAGAAACAAAGAAGGAGCAGTGCTCAAAATCACTTCAAAAACTGTGATTGACTGGAACTGATTAAAATTCAAGCATTCAAAAAAAAAAAAAAAAGGCTTCATTTTATCAGGTTGTGGCACCATCATGAATTCAAAGCATCACTCCAATCAAAGCCTAGCACTACAGACATCCCACTCTCGCTTGGAGAACATGGGAGTCACAATGGCCCATTTCATGTTACAATTCACAAACGTCTCTTCAAAAGAAGAACTACCCCCGCCCCCACAAAAGCAATCCCTGGGGAAAAGAAGAGAATTTTTAAAACCTTGCACTTCTCAGGGTTTGTACCATAAATCATTTCATAAAAGCAAAAAATAACAATAAAAAAACACAAAATCACATCCACACCTGCTGTGTGACGCATAATAAAAGCAGAAACCCAAAGGAAAGGCACAGAAACGAGAAGGAACACAAAAAGAAAAACTTGTTCTCAAAAGTGCTGGCTTGGGAGGATTTATCATAGCTCAGTACATTTCAGAACACAGATCCCATCTTCTGGCATCAATACTTAAAAGAGCTGAAGCTACTACTTGCACAACTATTGCTGCCTGTTTGGCATCAAGCAGAAGACAATAGCAGCAAGCCAATTAGGCATTTAAAAACCAAAACAAAACAAAGCCTGAAAAGGGCCAAACAGCTCCCTCCAACACACTGGCAACCCAAATCAAATTCACAAGCCCTGACATGACTTCTCATGGTTTATTAGAGCTTTAGAGAAAGCAGCTCATAAGGTGAGGAATGTGAAACTCAGGTCACTACTCCAAAACATTCCAACCTAAATATAGTAGATGCTGGGTTTCAGTCCAACTCCTCAGTATAGGTATGTTAACTTTCTTGGGGTCACAGAATATAATAGGGCAACCTGCATGGGCAATGGTCAGGAATGACGGCAGTTGTAGCCCAACAACATCTCCACCCCTAGTGTAGAGACAAGGAACCAGAAATACAGTAAACAATTTCTGGAACTCAGGGACTGCCCAGATAACTCCACTATTATTTTAAAAGAGGCATATAATCAATACTCACATTCAACCCTTTAGGGAGTAATTGAATAAAGCCTCACAATCTTCTCTGCTTCTTTCTTAAGAAGATTTTTCTTATGCCTCTCTTTAGGGGGGTATTTGCTCTATAATAATACAACAAAACACAAAGACTCCATCAGCAGGAGAGGGGTGGTTGTTTTTTTTAGCAGAAAGCGGCAAGCTCCGTAGCAAAGTTCAAAAGTCTGATCTTGGATATATTCAAGAATATATGAGAGAGGGTGGGGTGGAAGAAGCATTGCATTCCAAGGAGAATTTGTTGTGTTCCTTGTTTACGTGTAATAATAACCACAGCAATGCCATTTGAAAGCAAAAGAGGATGTGGGGTTTTGTTTTGGTTTTTTTGGTCTTTTGATACCTAGTACATAGACCGCGGGTGGCACTGTGGGTTAAATCACTGAGCCTAGGACTTGCCGATCAGAAGGTCAGTGGTTCGAATCCCCACGACGAGGTGAGCTCCTGTTGCTCGGTCCCTTCTCCTGCCAACCTAGCAGTTCGAAAGCATGCCAAAGTGCAAGTAGATAAATAGGTACCGCTCCGGCAGGAAGGTAAATGGCGTTTCCATGCGCTGCTCTGGCTCGCCAGAAGCGGCTTAGTCATGCTGGCCACATGACCTGGAAGCTGTATGCCAGCTCCCTCGGCCAATAAAGCGAGATGAGCGCCGCAACCCCAGAGTCGGTCACGACTGGACCTAATGGTCAGGGATCCCTTTACCTTTACCTTACATAGACCAAGTTCAGCAGAAGGAAGACTGGGATCTATCAGTGATGCTCTGGATGCTTTTCAACCAGTTGACAAGGATATTTGATTCCTAATTGGCTAACAATGGCAACATATCAGATTCCCACAGAAACCTGAGGAAAGGTCGACTTTTTGTCAGTCCTGTGTATTATCCCTACACCATGTCTTAGGGACAAGCCCATGGCCATTCTCAATGTTCCCTACCCATGCCACTGACTTCAGTGTTCCAGATAATGTTGTGTCCTGTACCAGCCAGCTTAAATCTGTCAATTCAATTAGTCTTCATCTCATCTAAAGAGCAGTCAAAAATGTTTCCCGGGTGAGGATCGCTCCTCCTGCCCTGAATAACTGCTCTCTAAGCAAACCATTCATTATAAACAGACCCAATATTCTGTGACTAAAGAAAACCAACACTTTGCCAATTGAAAGGCTTTTATGGTACAATGATATTTTAATTATATTGCAGGTGACAGTTACTTAAATGAAAAGCAGTTTCTTTGAAAGTTATCCACACTGTCACTATCTATATTCTGTTATTATTGATATAATACGATTACTTCTTCAGTATGATGCAGTTTTCGTAGTGTCAACAGAATTGCTGCTGCTTTCTATACCCCAATTAGATATTTATATATATATCAAGTGGTAGAGAAATGGTCTAAATCAGGCACATCCAACAGGTAGATCGTGATCACTGGACGTCTGTGGTAGATCATTGGTAGATCACTGGCTCCCCCCAAAAAACAGACCTTCCTCCTTTCTGAACCCCCCAAAACAGGGCTTTCCTTCCTAAAAATAACTCAACAACGTTGACCTGAACAGTCTCACAGTCTCTTGTGAGTTGGCCACCCCTGATCTAAATAAATATTTTCTTCCTTCTCCCGCCCCTTTTGAAGACAGGACACAATACCCTAAGAAGAAGACAATTGCAGATTTCCCCCATACCATGAATATGGCTGATCTCATACATCACACAATAAAGATACTATGATAATTTTCTATAATTTGTATATCGTAATGTTTAATTGCTCAATCCACTGTTGTCGTTATTGGGTTTTTTTAAAGCCACACACTTTCGCAGCAACCTATGCATCTACTCAGAAGCAA